CACGACGAGGCGGCCCAGCGCGACCGCGAGCGCCGCGAACGCAAGGCCGAGAAGAAGATGCAGAGGCAGCTCGAGGCGGCCGAGGCTCTCGAGGCGGCCGGCCCCCCGAAGATCACGCTGCCCGAGTTTATCAACCTGACGAACCTCGCCTACGGCCTCAAGCTGAAGCCCGACGTCTTGCTGGCATCGCTGGAGGAGATGGGGTTCGAGAACATGACGCTCGACAGCATCTTCACGGGCGACACGGCTGCGCTCGTGGCGCAAGAATTCGGATTCGAGCCGACGGTCGACACGGGCGGCGACCGCGAGCTGCGACCTCGCCCCGAGCCCGAGGACCCTTCGTCTCTGCCGCCGCGACCGCCCGTCGTGACCATCATGGGCCACGTCGACCACGGCAAGACGACTCTGCTGGATTACCTACGCAAGTCGTCCGTCGCGGCCCAAGAGCACGGCGGCATCACGCAGCACATTGGCGCCTTTGTCGTCAGCATGTCGTCGGGCAAGCACATCACGTTCCTCGACACGCCGGGCCACGCCGCCTTCTTGACGATGCGGCAGCGCGGCGCCCACGTCACGGACATTGTCGTGCTCGTCGTGGCGGCCGACGACAGCGTCAAGCCGCAGACGCTCGAAGCCATCAAGCACGCCCGCGCCGCCAAGGTGCCCATGATTGTGGCCATCAACAAGGTCGACAAGGAGGACGCGCGCGTCGACCAGGTCAAGTCGGACCTCGCGCGGCACGGCGTCGAGATTGAGGATTTCGGCGGCGACGTGCAGGTCGTGTGCGTCAGCGGCAAGACGGGCCAGGGCATGGACGACCTCGAGGAGAACATTGCGACGCTGTCGGAGATTCTCGACGTCCGCGCCGAGCCCGACGGCCTGTGCGAGGGCTGGGTGCTCGAGGCGAGCGTCAGGCAGGACGGCAAAGGCGGCGACGGTGCTCGTCAAAGCGGCGGCACGCTGCGCCCGGGCGACAGCCTCGTCGCCGGCACGGCGCGCGCCCGCGTCCGGCTGCTGCGCAACGAGGCCGGCGTCGAGCTGACCGAGGCCCCGCCCGGCACGCCCGTCGAGATTCTCGGCTGGCGCGACGAGCTCACCGCCGCCGGCGACGCCGTGCTGCAGGCGCCCGACGAGGAGCGCGCGCGCAGGGCCGTCGAGTACCGCACCGAGATGCGCGCCCGCGAGGCGTCGTCGCGGCAGCTCGTCGAGCAGGAGGCGCGCGAGCGCGAGCGCAAGGAAGCCGAGGAGGAGGCCGACGAGGCCGCGGAACACGGCGGCCAAGGTGGCGACGCTGCCACCACGGGCGGCATCAAGACGGTCACGTTCACGGTGCGCGGCGACGTCGTCGGCTCGGTCGAGGCCGTCTGCGCGACGATCCAGGAGCTCGGCAACCACGAGGTCAAGCCGCGGATCCTGCGCTCGGCCGTCGGCCAGGTGTCCGAGTCGGACGTCGAGCACGCCGCCACGTCCGGCAGCGTCATTGTCAACTTCAACGTGGCCGTCGCGCCGCACATCAAGCGCATGGCCGAGGCCGCCGGCGTGCGCCTCATCGCCCACAGCGTCATCTACCACCTCGCCGACGAGGTCCGCCAGACCCTCTCGGACGAGCTCGCCGACGTCGTCTCGACCAAGGTCGTCGGCGAGGCCGAGGTGCTGCAGATCTTCCCCATCAACACCAGGGGCCGCGCCTTCCGCAACATTGCCGGCTGCAAGATCCGGAACGGCCTCGTCAGCCGGACGGGCATGGTGCGCGTGCTGCGCAAGGGGGAGACGGTGTTCGAGGGTGCGTGTCTTCTTCTCCTTCTTCTCCTTCTTCTCCTTCTTCTTCTTCTCCTTCTTTTTCCTTTCCTTCTTTTTCCTTTTCTTCTTCTTCCTTTCCCTCTTCTTCCTTTCCTTCTCCTTCCTTTCCTTCTCTTGTCTCCCGCGTTGGACACGGTGAACACGGCTAACACGGCAACGCGCGCAGGCAAAATCGACGCTCTCAAGCACGGCAAGAAGGACGTCACGGAGATGCGCAAGGGCACCGAGTGCGGCATCTCGTTCGAGGGCTACCAGGACTTCCAGGTCGGCGACCAGGTGCAGACGTACGAGGAGGTCCGGGAGAAGAGGACGCTGTAAGGTGTCGAGGATGGTCGAGGACGCTGTGAGAGGTGTCGAGGATGGTCGAGGACGCTGTAAGATGCGTGTGTCGAGGATTGTACGATGATGTGTACTACTACGGCCCTGGCAGGGATGTATAGAGGTGATAGACTCAGTCGACTGCGTGCAGCCGATGTAAACGGCCAGATGAACACTGGTATTCACTAGTCAAGGCCAGCAGGTTCAGAGCTCTTCCACATTGAGCCTTGAGCGTGAAATGAGCATGGCGAAGTGACACTTCAACCTGATTACCCGGACATAATGTCATTCTGTCGCCGTGATGCCAGCCCAGCCGTTGTCTGTCTCGCGCAAACACAGACTCAGCACCCTAGATAGAGAGATATCATTCCTTCAAACTGTCGCCTCAATGCCAGTTTGGATATATGCTTCTCACTGTACGCCAAGCTGCAAAAGACGAAGCACCCCCAGAGAGAGATATCAGTCCTTCAACCTGTCATACACCCACCAGGCTGCTCGTCAATCAGGCGGGGCTGGAGGGAAAGTCGGAAGAACTTTCACCAACCAAGCAGAAGAACGCCCTTCCAGATCTTGCCTCTACATCGCCTCATACCTAGACTTTCGCTTGCACGCAGTCCGGCAAGATACACGACCCAACCTGCGTGTTAGAGCCGGTCACAAAATCCAGTCTCTCACTTCTCAGCCAACCTGACATAGCCCTCATTCAAACACAAGTCTCGCAAAAACACGCCGGAGCAGGACATCAAACATCACATCTCAGAAGCACCTTAGATTCTTCTCCCCTTCTCCTCTCCTCCTTCTACAACAGGCTTTTCGCCCGCTCACCGACCTTCCAACAGCCCCCCCAAGCACCCCCCCCTACGCAATGCTAAACTCGGACACGGCACCCGCCTCGTTGCGCAGCTCACCGCCGACCTTGTACGACACCCTGAATCGGAGCTTCAGCGCCTCGACCTTGCGGCTCCTGTCGCCGGCGTGGTTGACCTCGACCGTCTGCGTGACGCCGCGGCTCTGCTTCGGCTCGAGCGCGACGCCCGTCTGCGGGCTGATCTTGATCTCGTAGCCCTGCGCACGGTTAGCGGTTGCACACACTACGCTGCTCACACAGGCACGATCCGCAAGCAAAAAAAAAAAATCACGTCCTGGAAGGAGACGTACCTTGGTCACGGCCACCTGGTAGTGCAGCTCCGTCACGGGCTGCGCCGTCGTGTTGGAAAAGGCAAAGACAATGTTCATGGCGCTGCTGTTGGCCGTGGTGCGGTTGGCGAGCATCTCGATCTTGCGCCACCGTCGCTGATGACGGCCTTGTGCTCGCGCGGCTGCGTCGGCGCCGCGGCCTGGGGCAGGGCCGAGGAGAAGGACCACTCGTCGTCGT